TACTACTACTACTACTACTACTACTACTACTACTACTACTACTACTACTACTACTACTACTACTACTACTACTACTACTACTACTACTACTACTACTACTACTACTACTACTACTACTACTACTACTACTACTACTACTACTACTACTACTACTACTACTACTACTACTACTACTACTACTACTACTACTACTACTACTACTACTACTACGACTACTAGTACTACCACGACTACTACTAGTACTACCACGACTACTACTACTACTACTAATACTACTACTACTACTACTACTACTACTACTACTACTTCTTCCTCTCCTATGTCAGCGGCTGTGGAAAAACGGCCCATCAGACGGGGGCTGCCCGCGCGGACGACGACGGAACGGCAGATGGCGCACGGCGGCTGCCACTGGCCAGCGGCGATCGACGCCAAGCAAGCGGGCTGTCGCGGGCGAGGCGCACCCCGAAAATTTTCCAGGCCGCCGCGCGGGCCCCGCGGGCGACACAGCAGGTGGGGCATCCCATCCTTCTCATGGCATCGATCGTACAAGCTGCGCATGGGAGCTCTTGCAAAACAACAGCGGCTCCCGACGCAGCTCCCAGCGGGTTCCTCGGCGGTCGTGCGGTGTCCGCTGCCCTCCTCCGGCGAGCCTCATCAAACTGGCATCCGGGTTGGGATTCTCGCCAGAGCATGCCCAACGAACCGATCGGTATCTGGTGGGGCTCCCGGCAGGTTCCGCCGTGCAAAAGGCGATTGTCCTGCCCGGTTGAAGCTCTTCCCAAACGGCATCCGCACAGTTGTCATCCCTGCAGTCCTCCCCCTCATCGCCAGCATGTCGACTTCCCTGCTGCCGCCCTGCCCACCACAGCGGCGACAAGCAAGCTAGTCCTTACCAACTTCAAGGAAGCGACGATAACTCGACCCATTTTTAGCGCTGGCGGCTCTGCAGAGGGTGACTGGGCTGGCGGTAAAGCCATGAACGCAGGTGCTCCCCGAGCGTGTGGCGCGGCCGGCCCCGCCGCTCGGCACGCGACGAAGACTCGAAACACACAGCCTTCCGCTGTCTGAAAAAGTTCTCGAGAAGCCCCCACGAGGCTTCCAAGAGCCCTCCAATGCCTCCGGGAGGCAGCCCCACAGACCCGTACACGCGTTCCAAGAGGCCTCTGCCCCACGACCCATGCGCAGTGGCGGGGTGGGCCGAAGGCGACTAGACAAAGGTGGCATGGCTTGCCGTCGCTTGGACGTCCATTTCCCGTGCATTGATCGGTTTCGTGCGTGTTTTTTTTCGCTCGATGATCCAGGACGTTCCTCGAGGGTCCTCGCCGAGAAAAAAATGCACACGTCCGAGCGATGCCAGGATGGTGTCCTGCACCTGCTCCACTATCTAAAAGGGGCCGCTGAAACCGCTCTGGGGATAATCCTCGACGTGCCTTCGCGCGCGCCTCGGCTCCCTCGCGGCCTTCCCTGGGCCTCTGGATCTCCCCCCGGGGTCGGCGGAACGAGCCGTGAAGGATCTGCAATGACGAGGATGCGGACCAGGGAGGTACGAGCTCCAGCCAGAGGTCGCGAGGTACGGCCGCAAAGACGGGACAACCATCTATCGACGACGCCCTCGGCGAGTCACCGCCGCCCCCTTGCCTCGCAGAGTACGCCCGCGAGGCCCAACGCCGCCTGGCCACACCGGGCACCCCGCGGCACAGGCCAGCAGGTGGCTGCGGGTCCAGGGGCCGTCGGCCGATCCCGCCCCGCTGCCTGGCATGCGTTGAAGAACCGGACAAGTGCAGACAGAGCGCTCCACTGGAGCTGCGCTGCTGCGCTGGCACGGCGGCGGGGCGTGCGGCTGGCAGCCGGATACCCCAACGTCCAAGAGTGGCGGGACGACACGGTCGAGTGCGTCGAACCGTCAGCACCGACCGAATACGCAAGAAACTGAGGGACGTGGGCTTGCCTCGAAGACGTGTGCACTATTGCACAACTTCGCTTCGCTATCGTTCCAGACTGTACGCTGCAACTGAGCCCAAATGCCTCCACCACGACACACAGGGGAGGCTGGACGCGCGCGTAATCGTTCGAGATACGGAGGCAGATCGGCGGCAAAGCTGGCCATGACGCGATACTTCGAAACTTGAGTTCATCCAACGCGCCGGTGGTTCATAATGAGTTTACCCTTGAAGAGAAAAGAAGGAACTTGCTCGCTACCTCGTGGTTGCACCTCGCAAACCTGGTTTGCTGGAGCGGAAACCAGTCGACGTACGCAGCCGCTTCCCCCTTCGCGAACTGCAGGTCAGAGTTTGCCCCAGGAACTTGTATGTGTAGCCAGCGTGGACCCCAGACAGTTATATCTGGAAGTCTATGCGGTGCAGCATCTGTGTTGCAACACAAATGTCGCAATCGAGGTGGTACAACCCATGCGGAGCAATCTAGCGAGTAAGAAGTAATGCGCAGCAATGCAAAGGAATGCAAGGCAATGCAAAGCAATGCAAAGGCATGGAACGAAATGCACCGCAATGCAAATCACTGCAGAGTAAAACAAGACAATGAAGAGCAGTGCAAAGCTATGCAAGACAACGCAGAGCACTGAACAGCAACGCAATGCAGATCAATGCAAGGCAATACAAAACAATTCAAAGCAACGCTAAGCAATGCAAAACAACGCGGCGACGGACGGCGACGAGCTGGCCAGACCGCCACAAGGGCCCAGCGGCGACGGGCGTCGACTAGCTGGCCGGACCGCCACCGGGGCCCAGCGGCGACGGCGGCGACAGGCGGCGACGTCTGGCGACGAGCCAGCCAGACTGCCACCGTGGCCCAGCGATCTCAGAAGACAAGTAAAAACCCCTAAGGCCACGCTCGGTTTGGGGAATAAGTTTTCACGCAAGGTGCACCGAAACCATATTGGGCAGCGTGTGAAGACACTTCATGCAGCGAGAACTATGCGAAGTGCCCAGGCCTTGCAACATGTGCAGAAGATGCGTTGGTCACGGGTCAAAAGCAACGGCGGTGAAAACAAGTAGCGCAGGCCATTGGGGACGATGATGCTGGACGACGACAGCCACCACCACCACGGCGACGACGGCAACGGCGAGCCACACATATACACATAGAGACACACTTGGCATGAAGGGCGCGGGCACTCAGGCAAAACAGGTCCTGGGCCCAGGGGCACGCCCCAAGGACCCGCAGCTCGTCCCGAGGCGTTCTCAGGCTGTCCCGGAGCCCGCGCGGAGCGCCAGGAGGTCAAAACCAGTGAAAGCTTCTCTGGACCCGTTTCCGTCAGGACCCGCTTGTTCCATGGCGAACCCCTCCCAAGAGCCGCGCCTGCGCAGCAGGTCCCCGTCGTCCGCCGCGCGCTCGGGGGGCGCCATCCTCTGGGCCCGCCCCAAGCCCGCGCGCCCGTGGGCACGAGACGACTAACGAACGACCCGACGACCGAACCACCAAGACGGACAGATGTCCAGGCCTAGCTAGAGAAAGGGGGGAGGCTGTGGCCTCTTGGATCTGGTACGTATAGAACTAAGCACAGATGTGCAGTGGAACTGCGAGACGCTGGAAAAAAAAATCGACAGACTGGGGAGGAAGAGGAAGTCCTGGTTGTGGATTGCGGCGTGATGCTGCGTCGATGCAGTGGTGCTCGGGTGTCGACCAGCTTGAGATATGATGTCTTGTGTCAGGCAGACCCAGGTGAGATCGTTCCCCTGGGCTTTTACTCTTGTTGGCGTGGTCGTTGGGCGCCAGTCAGCCATACTTTGTTGGAAGAACGTGATGGTGTCGTTGTCCACGCTTGCGCTGGCCACCTTGTTGTAGACGTCCTCACTGGCGTGGATTCCTCCCCGGTTGCGAGTGGAGCGCGCCCCAGGTCTATCTGGTGGTCTCGTGGTTTGCAACCCTCGACGCCATGCGCCAAGATCTCTGTTTGTGACCCGTCTCCCATTGTGCAACGTGGTGGCACTGTATAGGCTACTCTGCACGATTGTGGCTCGGTGGATGTAGTCGACCCATGGCTCCAACGTGTCTTCATCGTCGCTGCTGTCTGTGATATCTCTGTGCAGGTCTGTGGTGTCTTGCTGAGGTGTGTTGCTGTCGGCGACGTCGCTGCTGCTGGTTGCGTCGGGGTCTCTGCCGGTGTTACGTAGGTGATGCAATCGTCCGTGGCACCTTGGTTTCTGCTAGCGGTCGGTTGGTGGGAAACGCGTCGCCTTGTTCTGATAATCATGCGAAACATGCGTCGCTGCGTTCGGCGCAGGTGTTGCCGCAAAGGCTCCGTGAGCGTCCATATCTCTGCTCCTTATAGCGCTGTCAGAATTACGCGGCTCTGTTGACAAGCCAGAGTCGGTTTGCCAGCGGGCATGCTTGCTGGTCAGCTCCTGCTTGCCCGAAGGGAACGATGCCCACGGAGCTCTCGCGCAAATGTAAAACTCGATGTCCATGCGCTGTGGAAGCCAGTGAGTTGACCTAAGTATGTTCTGCTGCTTTCGTCCCGACTTTGAAAGTGCACTGTGCGCGAACTTGCACTTCCGGTCCGTCTAGTCTGGTTGATGAACATTCTGGTGTTGGAAGAGTGATGGAAGAGTCCGTGACGTCGCGGCTGCGCACACGACGACCTCGTCGAGCATAATGTTGAGGCGCGCGAGAGCTCGGCTGGCCAAGAGCACATCGCCGGCGAAGCGAGGGTTGGTGAGCACGGAGGCGGGGGTGACCTTGTTTTGCAAATCGGTGATGAACGGTGCAAGGATGTGAACTGAGCTGAGCGGTTCGCCTTGCGCCGCGCCCAGTAAGAGGCTGAAGGTCGGCTGCTCACGTCTGTATTGACTGCGGCCGTCTGTCCCGCATAGGGCTGCTGGAGCAGGGGGGAATCCTCGCAACGAACGTTGCGATTTCAGTGCTGACCACGTGCTGGCGTATTCGGCTGAATCATCGACCTTTTGAAACCCTATGCTGTGACCCATAAGTTCTGCTTCCATTCGTGCGCGCACTCTCGGGGACAGTGGAAGGTGAACAAGTGGTCGGTGGACGAATGCTCCGATCTGAAAGCAGCCTGGTCTGCGGTCTGTTGAAAATCAAGTGTTGGTTGGGGCCGGTTAAGTCTTCTGCACAAACTTGTATAGCAAAGACATCGTGCATATGGGCTGGTAGTTGTGTGGAAAGGTGAGATCCCCACTTTTTTGGATGACCATGACGACTGGGCTCTTCCAGCTGGCTGGCGGCGAAACCTTGAACTGGGTAATCGTTTTGCAGAGATGGGGTAGTGCGTCTTTGAGTTTTTGCGCATTCAACATCTCAGCTCGTAGGCCCCTGGTATCAGGGTCTTTGCAAAGCCGAACCCTCTGACCGGCACGTCTAACTCGATCCTTGCACAAAATGGGAGTTCTTCACTGCGTTGCTCTTGCTGCGTCACCTGTGCCGTGAAAGCTTCACCATCAACGCCTTCAGCAGCTTCCTGGCGATACTCCACCAGTGCGTGCGCACGACGGTTGAGAATCAAGATATTCTGGACGAACGGCTCCCATGTTTGGAACGCGATGGTGCTGCTGCCGAGCTCGGTGGACATCTGCTTCGCTTGCTCTTCCGTCGAAACCTGAGGATTGCTACCGGCATGTGCTGCCTTAGTTTGCCCGGGCTTTCTTCACAGGCGTTTCGAAATCGAACATGTTGGAGCGTTAGTGCTCTCCGTGATTGTCTCCGTTGCCATGTGCCCCAGCTTCATCTCGAGATCCTCCTGCAGTTCGTAGCTCCGTTCATCGAAATACTGGGTCCTGTTACGCACTGCGAGAGCTACCGGCCGTCGGCGCTCGCGCGAATGAGTAGACGACTTGGGTGCTGCCGTTGCGATGACGACGATAACGACGACGACGACGATGACGACGACGACGACGACGACGACGACGACGACGACGGCGACGACGACGACGACGACGACGACGGCGGCGACTGCGGCGGCGGCGGCGGCGGGCGAGGGCGAAGGCTCGAGGCTGGACCCCGCCGGACTCCGGCCCTGCAGGTCCCCCGCGAGCCCGGATCACGTCGCGATGGCGTCGGCGCGGACTTCTGACACCGCGAGGACCGTCAGCCTCGAGCGGTCGCAGCGTCCCGAGTCGCGCGGGTCTGTTTGAAGGGGCCTTGGGACACACAAATAAATACACACGAATAAAAGGATTCCCTGTATTTTCCTATATTTTCTAGGTTTCTGTCTTCCCCCCCACTTCCCATGTTTTCCCATATTTTCTTGAGAATCGATGATTAATTGTGTCTGTGTGTTTCTTTTCCTCCTGACTGTTAGCGTCGGCCAGCTCCAGACCACTCGCGGGCCGAGGGGAGGAGGACGGGGCCTCCTGCGGAGGATGGGGCCTCCTGCGGAGGACGGCGATGGGCCCGTGGCTCCCCATGGGCACACCGTCTGGTCGGCCCAGCCTCGTCGCGCCCGCTGGTGCCACCCAGAGGAGGATCGAGGCTCGAGGATCGAGGCTGTCGGAAATGAGGGTCGCGGTTCGGGGATCGAAGAGGATTCGATGTCCGAGGATCGGGGGCACAGGAATCGAGGCTCGAGGGTCATGGCTCGAGTGTCGTGGCTCGAGGGAACGAGGCCAAGAATTGCACTCGTCCATCGTGCAGTTGGCCAGGCAGTCTGCTCGGACGTGCCAAGGCCGCTGCTGACAGCGAATCGTGTCGTCCATGTCTTGTGCTGGGCGCCATCCGGACTGTAACGCTTCGAAGGTGTTTGAACTCGTAGGTTAGACCATGGTACGTAAGCATTATGCAGTTCCCACTGTACTCAAGGACCACATGCCAGAAATGACTTCGAGCACCCGGGAAAGGCCTCGAAACAGTGCCTGCCCGACGCGCTGGCGAGGTGTCAAACGGCAATGGCCTCCCAAGGCCCGACGCGCGAAAGCACCCCCCCAAACTTCGGTACTCCCCTGGTGCTCGCGATGCTCTCTGGCGATCAGGGCTAAAAGTAATTACAGTCGGGGCGTTGACCTAAGGAACCCTAAATAAGGAACGAGGCCCCTTTGTCCCGTAAGTTCAACTTCGATTTCACATGGAAAACCTTAGGAAACCCCAAGGCAAACTGCAGAACAATCAAGGAACACCGAGCCCCTCCCCGACGGAAAAGGTTCCTTCTTCAGCGCCCCAACTGTAGGTCGGGGCATCGCAATCTGAGCCCAGCGGGTCCACGCTTCGTGGCCCGCTTGGCTGCTCCGCTGGTGGCCTCATCAAGCAGCATGACGGCCCCGAGAGACCACCGGAGGAACCCGTGGGCCGCTACTCGCCATCGCTCGGACGTCCATTCCCGGTGTTTTTTGGTCGGTTTCGTGCGTGGTTGTTTCGCCAAATGATCGAGGATGCTCCTCGATGGTCCTTGCCGCGGAAAAAACGCACACGTCCGAGCGATGCCGAGCGAGAGACCACGGAGGAGCCCGTGGGCCGCCAGGGGGCGCTGGCGGGACCTGCGGCGGCCCGCGATGCCAGGAATGGGGTGCGGCGGCACCGCGGGGCGGGGCGGCGGGCCCCCTCGCCATCGCTCGGACGTCCATTCCCTGTGCTTTTTTCGGTTTCGTGCGTGGCTCTTTCGCCAAACGATCGAGGATGCTCCTCGATGGCCCTCGCCGAAGAAAAAATGCACACGTCCGAGCGATGCCGAGCCCCTGCGCAGCTCGGATGGCACGGAGAAATGCCGTCGTCGGGCCACTGGGCGACTCGGCCGTCGCCGACAATGCGCCGCAGAGCTCCGGCGGGTGGTCTTCGGAGGGGAGGAAGGGACCCTTGATGTGGCAGGGTCGACCTACTACTAGTCAGGGCCGACTGCAGGCCAAAGGCCGGCAGTGCCTCTCCCTCCCCTGCCCCCGCTCGCAAGAGGCCGTGCCTTTTATCTCCGTCGCGCGGACTCGGACTTCTTGGATCGGCGTTGGACCACCCTTCCTGGCGCGCCAGGGGCGGCGGCGCTCGAGACGCCGCTAAGGGGGGGTCCGCGGAGGTCCCCGCGGACTTCCTGGATCGCGGCTCCCCTCCCCTCCCTCCCCCCTCCCCGCTCCGCGCTCCCCGCTCCCTCCCCTCCCCTCCCTCCCCTCCTCTCCCTCCCCCAGCCCCCCTCCCCTCCCTCCCCTCCCCTCCCCTCCCTCCCTCCACCTATTCCCCCCCCCCATGGTTCCCTCCCCTACCTCCCTCCCCCTGGCGCCGTCCGCGCTCGCTCCCTCTCCTCCCTCCCTCCCCCTGGTCCGCTCCTCTGTTCTGCCGGCGACTCCGCCGGCGGCAGGGACTGGCGCAGCCGCCGGCGCAGCTCGTCGGACCGCCGCCGCAGCTCATCCTCGGCCAGCGCGGGTCGCGCCGCCGCCGCCGCCGCGCAGACGAAAGCGCAGGCCGAGGCCTCCAACATCTTGAAAAAATCGGGGCTCCAAAACCTTGTGGTGACGGACCCTGTGGTGACCTCGGAATCCCCAACGACCTCACCGCGAGGTCCGTCACCGCACGCTCTTGGGACCCTGGATGCCCCGGTCGTCCGAGACGTCCTCGGAGAACGACTCGAGTCCCAAAACCGTGCGGTGATCCCAAATCGCCATTGACTCACCGCGCGGCGTGATCACAACACCGTGTCGGGGTCTCCGAAACAAGGCGGAGGAGGATTTCCGCCATTCTGGGCCCCTTGGGGGGAAGGCCGTCTTCGGGTTCCGCGGGGGCCGTGTATCGACGTCGCCGTGGTTTGCCGTCCTTCTCGTGCTCTCTGCCGCCGCCAGCGCCGCGGCCGCCGCCAACGCCGTCGTCGCCGTCGTCGGTCTCCGGCACGATCGAAACAGGTCTCGGAAAGGATGGGCACGAAAACCGCCAGCAGTTCCTGTTCGTGTTGAATAGGTATCGTTGTCTGTGTCGCCGCAGACGCAATCCATTTGGGACAGAAAGGCGTCTGCCAAATAGCAACTGTTGTCAGTGTGGGGCAACAGATGCTGCTGAGAATCGCATTCATTCATTCCCACCAAATCTCGATTTCGGACAAGCGTAAACCCGTGGCCGATTTCCGTCGTCAAATTCGAAAGCCGGGACCCCCCAAGCCAAGGAAGGAACACTGTACAAACATGTTAGTCAGCCTAACCCCCGGGCGGTGTTATTCTAGCAACATGTGCTGTGAATGATATATGTGGATCGGCCAAGGATATTTACAAGATTCTTGACGCGTCCAGGGCTCTGCACGAAAGGCGGGGGGGGTGGGCCAAATTCGTCAGGAGGGGGTCCGGGGTCCCAGGCCTTTGAAATATATGTGTATGCGTATGTATGTATGTATGTATATATATATGTGTAGATATGCACATAATAATGTTTGAATAGGAGTGTACATATAGATAGATCGATAGATAGATATATGTATATATATAGATAGACATATAGAAATATATAGATAGATAGATAGATATATAGATAGATAGGTAGATAGATAGATAGATATATAGATAGATAGATAGATAGATAGATAGATAGATAGATAGATAGATAGATAGATAGATATATAGATAGATAGATATAAATAGATACACTTCTTCAGGCCAGGCAGCGCCATGAAGGGCGCCTTGCGCCCACGAGCCAGGCCGGGCGCCGCGACGCAGGGCGTCGCGCCGAAAGGGCGCCGCCGCCGTCGATCTCGCCGCCGCTCGCGATCGCGCGGCCCCGCGGGCGCCTGGTCCGGGCCCGGCGCCGCCCGCGGGGCGGCTGCGGGGTCGCCCAGCGCGGCGCCGCCCCTACCGGCGTGGTGCCAGGAGTAGTCCTGCACGGCGCGCGCGCGCGAGGAGCGGCGCACGGCCCGTTTCGGGTCTCGGGCGGTTTCGCGTCGGTTCGGAGGGGCGGGAGCCTGAGGTCATTGAGATAAAAAAAAACCTTGCCAAAAATAACACGACGAAGCTGTGGCCTCCCTAAGGCCCCCGTCTTCGCAGTAGGGATAAAGCATCAGGGCACTTTAGCTCGATACCTCTGCAGAAAAGACCCCTACTCCTGATGTTCCAGGCCCTCCGAACTTCGGTCCTTCCCAGAGGGTAGGCGCCGCTTGATGTCTAATCACGGGAATCCTGGCGTCGCAGCTTTTGCTCACACCGGGCGTTCTTCGAGACGGACGTCTTCGCGTCAGCTCGAAGGGGCGGGGATCGGCTCAGGGAAGGCACCTGGGCGGCGCTCCTGGCCCCCCCCCAGCCGCACCTCAGGGGATCGCGTCAGGGGGGGGCCGGCGGGGATAGGCTGAGGTCGAGCAAGTCCTCCCACAGGCAGCTTTGGGAAGAAAAACAAATAATCAGAAAAAAACATAAATATCGCACAGGCAGCTTTGGGAGGAAAAATAAGCAATCATAAAAAAAAAACAGAAAGATCAAAAGCAAAAACAAAACAAATCGTCCCCGGGGAAGGGGCGCACCCCTGAGATCCTGGCGCAGCCGTCCGATTCACCGCGGGCGTACCTCCCCTCGCCTGGCGTCGGCCTCGGGCCTCGGGGCCCGAAGCGGGTCGACGAGTGCGGCCCGAACGCCGGGGCCGGAGGCTTGGGACTCTCCGGGGCAGGTCGCGCTTGTGAGCGTTTTTCGGGGGTGGACAGACCTCCTGACAGTGACACGTCGATTCGTGAATTGTCCGTGTTCGGTTCTCGAGAGGGCGCCGCGGCCGTGATTTTCCAGGCTTGCGCCCGCCAGGTTTGGGCCCGAGGTCGTTTTCACTAAACCACGTTTTACTAAAGGGAGGTCTGTCCATCCCCGAGTTTTCTTATTCGGCGCTTCGACATTGGGCGGAAGGGGGGGGGAGGGGAGGGATCTGGCTCCGGACGCCTGCTTCATGCGACTGTTTGCAACAGTGCGTCCGACGGGGGAGACTCCACCTGCTCGAAACGGGCGCCAAAGACAGCCAAGACCTATTCCATGGGGGGGAGGGGGGGTGCGAAGGCCCGCGCCGATCGGCAAAACAATGAATAAAACAGGTCACACGCTGCCAAATTATTTGGGGAAGTCGGATCAAGGATCCCACGTGAGCGACGATCAAGACCGGGTCTCACGCGAGATGGCACAGCGACATCACGCGGCGGCTTGCGCGGGCCGCCCGCGCGGCATGCTGCATTGGAGACGAAGGCGCTCACGCGCCAATGCTGGCACAATCAACTCCGTTTTCTTACAGTGGAGGCCCGTCCACAAGAAACCTTCCACAAGAGACCCAACCCAGAGGCCCCAAGACGTCCGTTGATGTTTGGTGCGCGAACGCCACGCTTTCCGTAGAAAAACAATCGATACCCAAGAAACCCAGGGCACCCTGGAGGCAAACAGGGTGCTTCTTGGCATGGGTCTCCACTGTACGTCGCTCGCGTGGTGAAGAGGACAAGTCGGCGGCGTTTCACGGTTGTGTCGGCCTCTGGGGGTGGGGGGGGCCTCGCTGGGCCCCGGGACCGTCAAGGAGCGGCCTGGGGCGAGAAGCCAGCCTTGGCGCCAGGGTCGGGCCTTCTGGGGGCACCGTGTTGGAAAAAAGGGGCGCGACTTAGAGGGGGGAGGATAAAATGCAGCGTCCCTCATCGAGTCGCGCCCGTCTTTTCAGCCCTCCCCTCCATGGAGGAGGGGATTTACAAAATGGGCGCGACCTTTTAATTGATCGTCCCCAACCTTTGCCGTCCCCCCCCCTCAAGGGGGGGGCGCCCTCCTTAGGCCGAGGAGGCCCCTTTCTGGGCCCTCAAGGGCCCCATTCCGGGGCCCTTCGGCGGTGGACAAACCTCCCTTTCGTAGACCTCCACTTGGTGAAAACGACCTGGGACCGAAACCGACGGACCTGGGCCCGCAAAGATGACGGCCGCGACGCCCTCCCGCGAACCGAACACGGCCAGTTCCTTAATCGACGTGTCAGGGTAGGAGGTCTGTCCATCCCCGGGCCCTACAGAGAGGGCCCCTGGCCCGCGGCCCCCGCTGCACCCCCATCGCCCCCCCCCCCAAAGGAAAATCCGGGCAGCGTATTTCCGGGCACGGAAGGGGACCCCCAGAGCGATCCGGCGTCGCGGCAGAGGCGGAACTGGGCTGCCACGTCCGAAGCCCTGCCGCATCGGTTCTCCGGAATCGTTGGGAGGCGGGGGCAGGTTCGAGTCGGGCATGTCCCTATACAGGAGGAGTATTGAAAGTAGTCGAAAAATAATCAGGGGACGAGTTCTGATCATAGGAGGACACGCCCGACCTGGGGTAGGGCTCGGGTATCGCCACGCGTTCGACGAAATCCGAACCCTCCTGGCAGGTTCGTGTCGTGCTGACTTCGCCGTTGGTTCCTGACACCCCGGGAAGTCGTCCCACCTTGAACGATCGGCCGTTGCCGAAACGCCCAGTCGTTCAGCATCGAGCCGATCCTGGTGCGCGGGCGGCGCTCAACGCTGAGCGCCTGCGGCGGGGTCGCCGCGGGTCGACACGACGCGAGCCCACCGCACCACCTGCCCCCGCGGCCCATCGAGGTGCCCGAAGCCTCGCTGGGCGATGGCACGGCTCGGGTTCCGCCGCCGAGGTGCATCCCGAGAAGTCGAGACGGGGACCTCCAGGCCTCGTCCTGTCGCGGCACGTCTCGAGCCGGGCCCATCTGCGAGAGTCCAATGGGCCCAAGACAAGGCGGCAGCGCCCGCTGCTAGGATATACGCACTGCCCATGTCTCAGGAGAGGCATCGAGATTCTTGCCCTCGCTCAGACGTCCATTCCCCGTGCCTGCTTCGGTCTCGTGCGCGCATCTTCTCGAGAAACATCCTAGATGCTCCCGAATGGTCCTCGCCGAGGAGAGAGAGGATGCACACGTCTGACCGATGCCACGGATCAGAGGTTCGGGCCAAGGCCCCGGATTTCTGCTCGAACGTGGACTCCCAGAGGTCCCGGGGCCAGGTACGTAAGGCACCCAGGTGCCCAAAACGTCCAAACATCATCCGTCCCGACGGTTTCACGATGGCGGGGGTCTGGGTTCGAGCGTCGTAGATTGGCTGCTACACGCTTGGCATCTGGGGCCAACGACGGGCCCAAGGGCCAGGGCCGTCAAGAAAAGGCAGGACGAAACGCCGGCCTGGGGGGAAGTGGCGAGATCTCCAGAGGAGTGCACATTGCAAAACGAATCGTGACGTCGGGGGTCAGGGCCCCCATCTTCCCCCTCCTCCCGTCGGCACGCCCCTGCTCTGAGTCTTCTGAGACTGGCGGCGCGCGCCCTGTGGCATGCTCATGCCCTGAGTCTTCTGAGGACGGGCGCCGGTGTTGTACCAGTACACCGTGGCGGCTGGCAGGGAGCGGGGGCCCCCTGACAAGCTATTGCTCGAGTGTCTCCAGCCAGTGCGCCGCCACCTCTTCCTCGAGCCATCCCGCCGGCGCCACCCCACGGCAGTGCTGCGCCGCGCCCTCGGCGGCCAGCGCCTTCATGATTAGCTTGCGGCCTGGCCACTCTGGGGCCTCCACGATCAGCTTGGTCTTGTCCACGTCGAAGAATCGCTCGAGCCGCATGAAGCTGATCTGCTGCTGCAGTTCGTACTTCGTGACTTCGACTGCGGCCATCTCGTCGGGCGTCTGGGGATGCTCCAGGTAGGCGCTGACCACCTGCTTGAGTGCCCGGCCAACTCGCACTTCGGGGGGCTCTCCAGCGCGGCGAGCCCCAATGCTGGAGCTGGGGGCCCTATCTCCTTGAGCTTATGCTTGTCATCCGCGTCTCTGCTGTGGAGCCTGTCGAGCATGTTCTCGTAGCCCTCCAGCTCGGCTGATATCCCGTCCACGAGTGGGTGCTTCGTCGTCATCGTGTACGCATCGATGTTGATGCTGTTGTTGAGGCGCGTCCTGCGCGTGGTCTGGAGCAGCAGCGCGAGCGCGGCGCGTAGCAAGGCCATCAGGAAATTGTCCTTGCTTCTCCAGACCTTGTCGCTGTGGGCCCCCCTCCTCGCCCTGCGGCCGCCCCTGCGCCTTCTGCGCATGTCGTCCTCGGCTGCCTGCTCGTCCTCGTCGACCTCGATCGCCGCGTCGACTGGCGCTCTCGGTGGCTGACCTGGCTTCATCGGCGGCCCCTGGAGGCGGGGCTCGGCCGCGGGGGGGGGGGGGGGGGGCCCTCGTCGCTCCTGGAGGCGGCGCCAGATAACTTGGAGCCCTTGGGGGAGCCCAGGGGGAGGCGCCAGTTCGCGCGCTTTGGCTCGGCTGCCGGCTGCGCGGCCTTGGCGGCGCCCCCCCCCCCCCCCCCCCTGGCAGCGCCGCTGCTGCCGCCATCGCGCTCGCGTCGCAGCGCTGGCAGCGCGCGCGGGCGTCGGCGCTGCGGCGGAGGATGGAGCCGCTGTTGGAGTCGCTGTCGGAGGCGCTGCTGTCCGACGTGGTGGTGGAGCGACGCGTGGCCGATGTCGAGGAGCCTTGCGCGCGCCCTGAATGCGGCCCGCTGCTCGGCGGAGGGCTGCTCTGGCCGCTGGGGCGCCCTCGGTCGCGCGAGGTGGCTGAGGAGCAAGCATGGGCGAGGCGGCGGCTCGAAGCCGTGCTGGGCTCGACTTCGTCGGGCGGGCCTCGGCCCTGATCGTCGGCGCGAGCATCGGCCCCGATGGCGACGGCGGATGATGCGAGGGAAGATGGGCTCGACTCCTAGAACATACATGAGATTCGCGCTGGCAGGCGGGATCGAGTTCATATTCACCAAGGGGGCGCTGTAGTGTACATGTAGCCTGGTGCCATGGATACACATGATGTGCGAGCTCCTATATGCACCTACCGACAGTCCATGCATCTCGTTGACGTCGTGCAGCATGATCTTGATTTGGAAAAGTAGTCCGGC